GTGGTTGTTACTGACTTTTAACACTGAATGTGCTGAGCCTGGGAATGATTTCTGCGCATGGACCTGGTCTTTTTGGGGAGACCTGGGAGCAGCTGCCCGCGGCAGCACCGGGAAGGCTCTGACGGGTGGAGATGCGGCTGCCGAAACGCCGGCCCCGTGGCGCCGGCGCCTGCGGTATTTCTGAACTCTCTCTGACCTCCTGCCCAGCTGGAGTGGATTTGAGCGTGCGAGGCTGGCTCCTCTGCGGCGGTGTAGCCCCCGGGGGGAACGCGGAGCCGGGCAGCTTCTGCCAGCCGCGCCGGCTGCCTTCCCCGCAGGCTCCTGGCAGCTCCGCGTCTTGTCCCATGGCCTTGCTGTCCTGGCGATCCCCAGGGACCCGGACGCGCTCCCCTTCTCCTGCCGGGAAGCCAGGCAAAGCCCAGGTGGGACGAGCTGTTATGGCTTCTACTGGCCACGTAGGTGCGTGGCCGTTTTCCTTGCACGGAGGAACTAAAGCTCCTGAAATGGCTGAGTTCAAGAGCCGTTTCGCAGTTATGCACAACGGAGCAGGGCAAAACGGCACTAAGCTCAGCGCAGGGTCTTTGCAAGTTCAGCCAGCCGCATATCAATTAATTTGCAGCTGCCAGATAAGCAGATCCTTCAGCACTACATTTTCCTTGAAAACAGTGATTCTTGTTATGAGGGAGACGGACTGACCCTATGATAACAATCATCTCCTCTGAACTACTTGGCATATTCATCCAGCATGTTTGACTTTGTTTAAACAGACTTTTTTTTTTCCTAGAGATAAGAAACTCTGCCTTACATCATAGTGAAATGGCTTCTACACTTATCCACTCGGTTAGGAGGCTTTATGATACTAAACTACTGGATAATCTCTGGCCACGCAGCCGCAACATCAGATCTCTGCTCGCTTTGCTTGTTTTACTTTCTGACCTGGAGCTGCTCAGATCCGTCCGAGGGGTCTCCTTCGCCTGCGTTAGGAGCCGCTGCCCCGTTGCTTGTTCGGAAAGTTGGCATCGGCTCAAGCTGTTGTTCTTTAAAGAAACCTCCTTTCTCTTGCTAAGCTTTTCAAGGGGCCATGTGCAGTCTTCCTTTTTGCAGTTTTTCAGACCAAAACAAATACCTGATCTTACCCAAATGGCTCGCAGAGCCTTGGCGGGGCATGCGGCAGTGCTTGTGATGACAGCCGGCGTCCGACCTCGCTGCGAGCTGGAGGGACAGGGGCGTCCCTCGGTCCTTCCCTCCACCCCCTCTGGGAACCGGCACTTTCCTTCTGAGCCCACCACTGCTGATGGCCAGGGCTGCGTTCTGCAGCCTGCTTTAAACCCGAGCGTGCCCCGCACAGACGATGCTGGGGGACTAGCTCAGTCAACCCAGGTAATCCCGTAATGCACGTGACAGCAATGCCTTTTAACGCTGCTTTTCTGCTCATGCGAGTCAGCAGTGAGGAGAAGGCCTGGAGGATCATTTGACAGCAGCCGGTCGTCAGCTGGGGTGGAGGTCTGCTGCTGCTCTGGTGCTCGTAAGGCAAAGGCAAGTGTTGGGGTTTGAAAGCACCTTGAAGAGTGCTGTGAGTTACAAAATCCTCCTTGTAGACCTGTAGGAAGTAATTGTGGGGAAGAGGCGGCTGCTGCACCCCCAGGTAGGCGAGGTCGCTCTGAGGCCTGGCAAAGCATCTCCACGGGCAGGGCTGTGCAGGTGTCCCCTGTCCCACGGAGCTGCCTGCGCCCGTGGGATGCGAACAATTTACCATCACCTGGGGGTGGTGAACGGGCCTCTCTCTTCTGCACCATTTATAGGCACTTCAGGACTCCTATGGATGAAAGGCGCACTTCAAGCGCAGGCCATGATTTACCCGTAGGTAGCGACGGCAGCTGGCTCCAGTTACTCCGTTGGGCGGGCTGCACAGCCTGCCTGCTTTCCCAGGCGCTCGCAGCAGGGGCGGACCGAGAACGTTGCTCTGTGCAGGGTTACAAGCGCTGCTGGCGCGGGGCACAAACAGCAACGTGCACTGCACGACAGGTTACGGGAGGCATGGATTTTTATGGCTGCTGTGGATGTCTTTGTAAAGGTGGAAAAGCAAAGGGACAGACTCTGAAATTTTACGTTTGAGTAAGCTGGTACGCTTTATTTCAGACCACGTCGAAAGTAGCTTCTTAACACGATGCTCTACGTGCTCTGGCAAGCTCCGGCGATAACATCAGTTTGCTGTGGCTAGTCATTACGCGCTCCGCTGGGCTAGGCAGCCGGATGATGACTGCCGCAGAAATCCTTACCTGCGGCAGAGGAACAAGCATCAGAGCTTGTCCAGAGCGCAGCAGCACCGCGAGCCAGCAGCTCGGTCAGACGGTCCGACAGCTACACATCTGCGAGCCGCTTCCTTCCCAGGCTCGCACCTTCCCCTTAGGATCAGCGAGCCGCTCGCAGACGCCGTCGTCGCCGGGCCTCCTCTTCCCACGTGCCTCTCCTGCGCGGTTCCTGCAACGGGGGCAGCGCCAGAATACCTATTAACTCAGCCGAAACAAAGGTTTGCCTTTAACTATTTGGAATAAAGCGACAAAGGTAAAGTGGTGGGGTTTGAAAGCACCTTGAAAAGGGCTGTGAATTATAAAAATCCTCCTTGTATATCTGTAAGAAAGAACTAAATGCTTTCATCGCTCGTGGTTTGTAGTATAAACTTGTAGGCAAACCACAGCAGCCTAAAGTTGGGTTTCCTCAGCGACATTTTATTTTCTAAATGTACCTTTGCTGAAGAAATGGATCTGTCTGTGAAACACATTCCCATAGTTTTGCACACTCTGAACGTGAGGCTGCTTTTAACTGCTTTGACAATCAAATTAATTAACATCCAGAGCGAGCAACAGGCACGTTCAGTATAACCGCAGTTAACGTTCTTCAGTGACGTGGGGTTTCGTGTTGTGAACAAAGAAAACAGCCCCCGAACCGTGTATGTGCTTGGCTGCGTTGTTTCTGCAGAGACTTTGCAGCCCACCAGATACCTGCGTCCTTAAATCCAAGTTCCCTTGCATACCTCGGAGAAAGAGAAACCCGACGACATCGTGGGCGGTCTTCTATTTCTAGCGGTCTGGAATATATTTTCAGAACCACTCTGTTATCATGTGTAACTACTCGAGACCTATAGATATTAGGGGCGTATAGAAACAGAAGAGGAGAAGCGGTGCCAGACTAACATGCCTTCTAAGAAATAACCATTTCCCTTGGCTGCTTTGGCACTCGTGCTGGAGTTTACTGCAAACAGAGTCCTTTTCTCTCAGATGAGGGCTCCCCAAGGAGGCCCGATTCTCGTCTCGGTGCCACGGGTTGTATACCTTGGCGCAGCTTCAGTTCACGCTGGTGTCGAGATCCAGACCAGCCCCTCGGACCTGCCCCCTGAAAGCAGAGCAGAAACCTGGTAACGCTATGGACTGTGCAGGCTTACAGCTGCGCTGCTGGTGGCAGAGTAGAATATACCGTCTCTTGCTAGAGCTAATGCTATATTTACATCAAAATAAAACTGTAAAGTGTAAAATAACCTAGCTTCAGGCTCTCACGCTTCACTACAAATGCTTTGTCTGCCTTGGCTGACAAAATGCTCTTGGCTTTTGATCAAAGAAAACTAAGTGGAAGCTGTTTTTTCTCTTGATGTTAAGAAAGCTTTTGACAGAGAGAGTCCCTGCAAGACTAGTTAAGACACACAAGCCCCGTGGTACGCTCTCAAAACGCGTTGAAGAAAAATAGGCAGAACAACGCCAGCACGGAATGGTTTCTGCTCCGGAAAGGTACGTAGAGATGGCACCCTTACGGCTGGCGTGATGCCACCGACCTGGCTCTAACGACAAGGCGCTGGTTACAGCCTGTTGCTGCTTCGGTCAAGGCCTCAGCACCCAGCGGTTTGCCTGAAGCAGAGGCGGCGTGGGGAGGACGTCCGCTGGAGCAGCTCGAAGAAGGCGGCTTGGGGGAAATACCTACGAAGTTTTAGACGTCTTGTCCTTTGGCTCGCAGGTGAGGCGTCCCCCGGCCGGGCTCGGCGCGGCTCCCGGCGCCGCTCGCCAGGTAACCGCCACCGCCTGCTGGCCTAGGCTGCCCAGACTGCCCGGCCACACGGCACGGCACCACCCCTCCTTACGGCTCCTTTGGCCTAGTATTGCAAAAACCACTACGGCCCTTTAATTAAAGCCTTATCGCCGCACACGGCCACGGAAGGGCTAAGTACGAGCTGGGAAGCGCCGGGCTTTAAACTGTGCTGCGAGCAGCACCCCGTAACTCGGCGCGAAGCCTGGAGGCTTTTGTTTTAAATCCCATTTCACGGGTATTTTGGGGAGAGGGCAGCGAGGGGCGTTGCTCGGACGCCTGCCGGAGGCGGTGATGCCGGTGCCTGGCTGGAAGGGCACGGCCGGGCGGCTCGCAGCCCTCCGGCTCCCCGGAGCGGCGACCGGAGCCCCGCCGCCGCGGGCGGCTGGCGGCCCCCTTCCCTCCCCGAGCCGGGCGCGGCGGG